TTCCTGGCTTTTTAGTTTTAACTAATCTTCAGTGAAGAATGCTTATATTCCTAGTTTGATGTATTTATTTTAGAGAATTAATGTGACTCTGTCTTTGCTTAATTGTTTAATATGGAGTCTTGGTGGGGGTCCTTTACTGGAGGGGTCCTCACCCTGCTCTGACCACCCTCGGTCCCCGTCCCTCTGATTCAGGGCAAGCCTACCTGGAAGGCAAAAGCCACAGCAGAAGAAGATGCTAGACCTGGCTGTGCGCCCAGAGGCCAGTTCCCGCCGGCCGTGCAAAGGGGAGCCCGGCTGCAGGTGTGTCGTAGGAGAAAAAGGTTGCTGGGCACAGACTGGGGCAGAGTCGGGAGCAGCTCGTGGGGACTGAGGCCCTTGCAGGAAAAGGAGAGGGAGGGGTGGGGAGAGAGGAGGGGAGAATGGCAGGTGCTGGGGACGGGACAGCAGGGAGCCCTGCGACCCTGGACGTCAACCTGCTGTCACCCGGTACAAGCTCCGCTGCCAAGCCCGGCCGCCGGGGTGGGGGGGGCGGCAACGACAAGGTGTCGGACCCGAGCGGGCAGAGCGGCCCCCAAAGGGAGAGGCCTGAACACACGAAGCCTTAGGGCCTTTGAGCAGCGCCCAGTCGGACGGCAAGAGCTCACAGTCCAAAGGGCAGCGAGGCGCCAGCAGAAGAGAATGCCTGTCCCTTGGGTCGGATCAGCGTGGGCCCGGCCCTGCCGTGCAGCTGCTTCCTCCCAGCTGCATCCGCCCAGGGCCCCTGGCAGACCTCGCCTCCGCCAAGGGGCCTTTGTGTCGCAGGAGCCGCTGGCTGCCCGGCTGCCCTCCGCAGGGCCTCCCTCGCCCAGCTTCTAGTCTGTGGGCATCAGAACCACGGGTGGAGCCTTCCTCTGTGCACTGCAGATAAATGGGCACTTGGCGCAAGGCTCGGGAAGAGCAAGCCTCCTGCCCCATCCATGGGCACGCAGGCCCCTCTCAGGGAGCTGCTGGCAGCGGGCAGGGGTCTCAGGCCCCTGCGCCTGCAGTGGCCCGTCCTCTCCTTTCCTGGCTTCACGGTACGTGTTGGAGAGGAGAGCTGCCCGTCGCCTCACACAGCGCACTCGGTCTCTCCGGGAGATGCAGAGCCTTCCTGTGGGGCGGTTCTAAAAAGCAGGACTTTCTGGACCCGCGTTGTTTCTGCTCTGTGTCATGGGCACCATGGTCTGCCTGCGCCGGAGCCCCTTCGTCCCACACAGTGGCGTGCAGAGGAACCCCTTAGATAGGAAATCACTGGGGCAGAGGCTATGTGCTGTGACAATCCTGAGTCGCTGCCACGGCTACGGATGATACCTGTCTTCCTGTGGGTGGGACACAGTGGAATACGCAGGCGCCCTGCCCACCTAAGAACCTCTGGGTGCTGTAAGCCTAGGAAGGGGATTCCGGACGAGGAACTCCGCCAGCCTCCCCCTCCCCGCGGGGACATGTGCTGTGCCGAGGTGACCGCTGCTGTCCTGGCCTGACAGGTCCCAGCTTCCCCGGGCTTCGCGAGCCGGGCACACATGCTCACTGGCCCAGGGGCGTCCAGGCATCGCCAGCCCTGGGGTGTAGGGGCCTGGGGCAGGTCTCTGTCCGCCTCAGGGGTCCAGGCTCCTCTAGGTCATGGCTGGAAAGCAAGCTTTCTCGCCTGAGTCTAAGCACCACCCTCGTCAGGGACTGGCACGCAGGCCAGGCGAGGGCGACAATGGTGGGGGTGTCAGGTGAGAAGCCCTGGATTAAAACACAGAAAGATGGACGTGGTCAGGAATGGTGAGGAACTGGGTGATTGTTTAATGTGGAGCATTTTTACCATACTGACATTATTGACCAAAAATGAAACATCTCCAGGACAACCCACTGATGTGTCTGTGGCCCTCTGAGGTGCGTTTCCCTATATGTGTTCTCGGTGACACCCTGGGGCGGGGCTGCTGGTGGGGTCAGTTCTGGCAGGGGTCCAGGGCTGGGGGGCCCACCCTCTGCTGTCCTAGGGAAGCTCTGAGGGTGCAGGGGCGGCCCGGCTGCGTCCTCCCCCGGAGCTGCGTGCAGACGTCCCCACCGCGCTGGGTGGCAGACCAGCCTTTCTTCTGCAAGTGGGGTGGGGCCACCTCTGCCGTCTTAGGCACGGCCCAGGCCCCTGGGGCCTGGCACTTAATGGGTACTTGGTAAACGTTTGAAAGGAAGGAAAAGAGGAGGGGGGAAGCATGCCCATGTGGGGTGAATTGAAGAACTCTGAGTGCCTGGCCATCCCATCCGATCCCACAGGCTCCCCCTCAGGGACCCTGACATTCTCACTGCTGGTGACGCTTCCAGCTGCACAATCTATCCTCTCCCCAAACAGGCATCGATCATTTATTCATTGAACAACTATTCGCTGAGTGCCTTCTAGGTAGAGATCTAAGGTGCTGAGAATACAGCCATGATCGAGTGGTCAAAAATAATAGCCTAGTGGAGTTTAAATTCTGGGCATGGGAGGAAAATAAACATGGTCTGCATTAGATGTTTGTGTTTATAATACACGTTTTGTGGTATATACTGCTGGAGAGGTTGGTTATGCAGGGAGGAGAGAGGATGTCAGAGGCATATACGAATATCAGAGAGGGTGGCCAGGGTGAAGAGCGGAAGGCAGAACAAAGTGAGGCGTGCAGGCTTGGGAAGACAAGGGACAGTGAGTGCAAAGGCCCTGAGGTCTAGATTTCCTGGACTAGTTATCTCTTTTGATCTGGATCACAAGCATCTGAAAGGTAGGAATGTTTTATGTGTCTTTAGAAACAATCTTGATTACCTCTCGCTGTATACCTTCTGTGCTCTTGAATTTTGTAGGTATTTCCTATTGTAAAAAAATCTAATTGTGCTTATACCTGAAGGAGGATACAGAGCATAAAGTTGGACACTTAGTAGGGTCAGTAGTTGTCTGCTGTTTGAATATTCAATAGTGGCACATTTAAAACATCAGGGGCTGTTGTGCTATTTAAGACTTTACTAACCGTGTAGCTTCCCTGAGAGGTTGTTCGTGGCCCCACCAGGTTTATTTGCTACCATCTGAGGGGTGATTTGTTCCCTTTCAGACCAGTTTTAACTGTAGAAGCCCCTCTGTGAGCCTCCTCAGATTTCCATACTCTTCACCTTTTTTATTAGCTTCCTCCAAGCCTCTGGACGTTTCTCAGCTAGAGGAGTAGAATCTGCACGTTTTTAAGGAAGCACTTCTAAGGAGGCCACCTCCGAGAACTCGGAGGATGCCACAGTGGGACCTGAGGGGCAGGCGATGAGAGGGAGGCCCGGAGGCCCGGGAGGAGAAGTGGCCGCAGAGCCCACTGCCCGCCGTCTCCTCCCTCCTCCTGGCTGTGGGCGCCCCGGGGCTCACGGGCATCCCGTGGCCCTTGTCCAGCCCTTTAGAAAGTGGCTGTGTTTCCTGACCGCTGAAGAGCATGATGGGAGTTCAACTTCACAGCTGTAGAAAAATTGTAAGAAAGGAAGGAAACAATGGTGAGCCTTTAAAAATAACAAATAGTTGAAATGGTTGTGTTTTGGGTGAGTTCCTGTTCATTTTTACAAGGGGATGAGGTCTCTTCCACACAGCCCAGGGGAAAGGGGCACATACAGTGCAGACAGCAGCCTAGAAAGGGGACAGCGGGAGACGGGGTGCCTGAGGCTGGGAGGCAGGGCCGGCCAGGCCCGGGAGGCTGAAGGTGCACCCGAAGTAAGTGCAAAGGTCGCTGACAGGGCGGGTGATTGAGGGCTGGCAGCCGCCTTGGGACAGGAGTGCAGAGGGGAGCTGCCGGCCTCTCTGCAGGCGGGGAAGGTGAGCTGCTGGGGTGCTGCTGTTCCCCATCCTGCTCTGTGGGGGAGCCCCTTAAAACGCATGCTGTCCTGTCATCACTGGGCTGGCTGCAGGACTCGAGAGAAGGTGCCTTATAACAATAATCGATGTGCTCTGGGATTTTAGGCACAATAAGCCCTCAGTAAATGCTTGAGGCTGAAGTTCTACATGGATGCAAAAGGTGGGTTCAGAAGTCCAGTGCCGCGCCTTCCTCTGTGCTGTCTGGGCAGTGCGCTGTGTGCCAGGCCCGCACAGAGCAGGCCTCGGGGATGTCTCGCTCCCTCCGCAGGCCCCCCACCTGTGCTGCCTGCCCCCTTCTGCAGCCTGGGCAGCCTGGGCACCGTCTCACCTACCCGAGGGTCAGGGCAGCTGGTTTTCTCTCTCGCTTTGTCACGTTGATTAGGAGTCCGTGTCTGTGGATAAAACCAGGATTACCTGGACTGTGGGCTAAATGCTAGGCGAGCTAGAGGCTGGGGGAGCTAGGGGCTGGGGGAGCTAGGGGCTGGGGGAGCTAGGGGCTGCCTTGCTAGTCCAGCTACAACCCCAGGCCCGGTGGCCATGGCCACCTGGTTGCAGGCATGGTGCCAGAAGGATCTACATCTTCCAAACACCTGTGGACTGAGTGGAAAATGTCGCCATGGCCTCTTTTTGCTGCTTTTTAATGCAGGTTTTTTTTGTGTGTGTGTTTCAAAATCTTTTTTTATTATTATTAGGCAGTAGTCACAGGGAGCAAATTTTTAAAGTTTAAAAGGTGAAACCCTCCCTCTCCCTCCCTTCTCTCCCCCATTTAATCGCATCCTCAAAGGCAGCCAGTGCACCAGCCTGGGGTGTAACCCCCCACACAGTCCACGCATCCGTGAGCACGAGAAGCAGCCCGTGCTGTGATGTTCCCCCTCCCCAAGGCCTCGCTGCCGACCTTCCTCTGGGCTGTCCCCTTGTGCTGTCCACCACGTGACAGTCCAGTCACATTCTTTGAATCACCTTCCAGATAAAGATGCCTTTGCCTGGAGAGTAAGTGAACAATTTGTTGTGACTGAACCTCTGCAAGCACGTGTCACACGCTGTTAATTTAAACCACGTCTTGAATGAAGGCCCCTAAGGTCACACAATGGGGACCCCACAAAACAGTGTGTCTTCTAAGGCCATGGCGTGTTTCCTCTTGTTCCAGAAACTAGAATGAGCCGAAGCACTCCTGTGGAGGTCGATGAATCAGAGCCGTACCCGAGTCAGTTACTGAGATCGATCCCAGAGTTTTTCCTGGAAGAGGAACCAGAACCACCCGCTCCAAACATAAGGAACACGGAACCGGACAGCCTGTCTGCACCCCGAGCCCCTCACTATCCCCCAGGACACTTTTCTCAGGCTCCTGCACCCCTGAAACTTCCAGGCCGCCAGCAGCCTGTGTCCCAGCAGGTCGCCTGCCTGTGCACTGAACTGCTGGAGGAGAACGGAGACAGCTTCTGGCAGAGACACCTGGACCCCGGCAGAGGCTTTCCCCCAGGCTCCTCTGCAGCCAGCGTGCCAGGGCCCCAGCATGTGGTGGGGGCCCTCATCCCAGAGCAGCGGTTTCCACTGATGGGACAGCATCAGCGATGGCTAGGATCTCGGCTCTCAGGGGCTTCTTCCGACACTGGCCATGGCTCAGGCAAGCCAGACCAAAGTTTACCTGATGCCTCGGCGGACTCTGCGGCCAGCGGCCACGAGACGGTGCCCCAGCCCCAGCCCTGTGGGCCCCGAGCCGCCCCAGACCTGCCTACAATAGACACGGGGTACGATTCCCAGCCCCAGGACATCCTGGGGCTCAGGCAGCTAGAGAGGCCGCTGCCCCTCACCTCCGTGTGTTACCTCCAGGACCTGCCCAGGCCGCTCAGGTCCAGGGAGTTCCATCAGCTCGAACCTCAGAGGAACCCGGCGTGCGCCCCAGTGCTGCCTGCACACCCTTTCCCACACACTCCGTGGAACCATCCTTTCCACTGTCCCGGAGGGCCTTATCTCCAGGCGCCATGTAAGTGAGTCTCACTGCCTCTGGGTGTTCCGGGCTGGGTAGCTAAGTAAGCGAGGGCCGCGTGTCAGTGCCTCGAATCACTGGACCAGCCCAGGCAGGCGGGAGTGCAGGGCAGCATCTGCTTCCTGCCGGGCCTTCCGTGTGCGTGCGGTTGGATTGGCAAGGGGCTCTGGAAGAATGCTTCACCTTAGGTCAGAGCCCATCCCACTTGGAACCTGCTTCTGTGGGAAAGTCTCCTCTGTGCAGGTCAGTCAACTGAAACCTGCCTGGAAGCAGGGGAGTCAGCTGAGTGACTTCTAGAAAATTTTTCTGCTGCCCGAATTCTGGGGAATCTGAGTCCTTCCTTCCCTGCATCCTTCTTCCCCTTCTTAGATTCAGCAGAGAAAGGGGCCTTCAGTCAGAAACGAATCAGAAGGGGTGCAGAACGCCCTTGAGACTGCATTCGCGCTATTCCAGGGACTCCGGCTCCTGGGACTGTGTTGCTTGGACCCCAAGGGACAGACTTGAGCCACCCTTCTCTACCCTACCTGCTAGCCGCAGCCTAGGACCGGCCGCCCCCCGTTTCACATGCTCTTCCCTATCCAGGATGTTCTTCCCGTTCTTGTGCAAATGACCCAGTTCTATACCTCTTATTTTTTAAACAGCGTTATTGAGATCTAATTTAAATATTGTAAAATTCGCTCTTTACCCATTTTAAGTGTACCATTCAATGAACTGTAGCATCTTAGAGTTACACAACTCTCCCTGCATGAATCTTAAAGACTTCACTCAAGTGTACACCTGGTAACCTCCCCAGACCCGCCCCTCCTTCAGGCCCTCCGCTCCCTTGTGTTCTGCCACTCGCGGCAGCTGATCACCAGCATGGCACCCACGTACGCACGCGTCTCCCTCTCCTTCCAGAACGCAAGCTTTTGCACATCAGCAGAGGTGTATTTTGATGAACCCGTAATTCCCCAGCCTTTAGCACAGTGACCAGCATGTAAGAGACCCTTGAATTATTTCTGAATGAGAGAATGAATGAATATGTATCAGTGTCTTAAGCTCTGAAAGTGGTAAAATCTTAGAGATGAAAGATCTGTCACAATTATTGATATTAAATCTCCACTGAGGCCAGTGGAAAATAACCATAGGGCTTTACAGATGAAACACAGCTGTGAGATGCATTTTCCTTAGCAGATAATCACTGCACACAAAAAAATTATTCAAAGCATCTGACTCAATACCTGATGCCTCAAAATAAGTTATAAATTTTAAATGCTGGCATAAGTCACAATTTATGTATTTGTAGATGTGCAGTTTATATAAAGCTTCTTAAAGTGAATGGAGAATACAGTGATGCATAATTTTTAAAAGAAGGAGGTAGAAGCCACAGGTAAGAGTGGCTGAGGTCAGGAGGGAGGCCCGGGGCAGCGCCGCCGGTCCCGGCACCCAGCAGCAGCTCAGGGTTCCGTTTATTTCTCAATGATTTCCAGGTTAAAGGGATAACTTTGTAAGACTTCTACCTTTAACTACTTTTTAAGCATTCTGTATAATTTTTATGATCACAACAGTAATATTTATTCACTCTCAAAATTGAAATGCCCAAAAGTTCAGCTCACATTTCCATCACCCAAATATAATTCCTTATTGGGCTTTGACATGTTTATTTCTGTTTTTTTTTTCTTTGCATATATATATTTAATGTAAAATTAAAATGATTCCCAGTGCCAGTCAATATGCTCCCTCCAGCATCATGTACAAACGCTGTCTAGGATTTCATCAGACGGATCTACCAAGTCATTTTTAAACTATTCCCTATTGTTGGACATGTAAAAATAGTTTCCAGTTTCTGAGTCAATAAGCAATGGTATGACAAACATCACGTATGTTAAGTTTTTATCGGCGTGTCTGATTAGTTCCTTAGCTTAACATCCAGAGGTGTGAATACTTAGTCAAGGGCTTTGTGATCCTGAGTCCCAAGCAGTTGCCTTTATCTGCTAACAGGAGAGGGTCTCATTGAGACAGACAAAGAAAGCCCTGAGTTGTTCTAATTTGAGGAAGATCTTCCAGTTGAAGTTACATGACCTGCTGAAGCCTGGAAATGGCACCATCAGCAGCCCAGTCTCCGGAGGCCCTACAGGCAGGCTCTTAAAATGTGAGCATTCGAACTCCCGACTGGGAACGCTTTCGGTGTCTGATGCCTCACGACCTGCCTTCCTTGTCCTGTCCCTTCCCCCTCTCTCTCTGTTCTCTCCTCTGCTAAGAGACGGCTGCTGGTGCACTGGGAGCCAGGAGAGGTGGTGGACGGCAGGAGAGCGCTTGGATGGCGGAGGGAATAACTCATAGGAGATATACAAAGAGCCAACGAGCGTATGAAACCAAGCTTAACATTATTCAACTGAAGAAAAATGCATATATGCAAGATTTTTAAGATACCTTTTTCCTAAGTAGATGTGCAAGAATAAAAACCTTGGACAACATCCAGTGTCAGTCAGGTTATAGGGAAATGAACACCTCATCTACCCTCACAGAAGCATAAATTGCACCGTCTCTGGAAGGCGCCCTCACCGTCTCACAGTGTTCAACGTGCTCGCGTGGGCCCAGCAGTCTCGCCTGTAGGAATCTGTCCTGTAGAAACATTAAACCAGCACACAGAAATATGTGAACAGGCGCGTCCACTAAAGCATTATTGTCTTAGCATCAAAAAGAAAACAACAAAAATGCCTGTCAGTGAGGGGACAGGTGAGTAATTGGTGATCTGTTTGTACAGTGGACTCTAGGTCTCTGTTAAGGAGAATGAAACCCACCTTCTGACAAAAAAAAGATTGAGTGGAAAAGCAGGATACGGTGTTGATCCCACATGGGTTATTTTTTTGAAACCATTAATGTTTAAAGACTGTTAAACAGTCTGAAACTGTTAACTGATCATAGGATGGGGGAGGGCAAGGAATGAAGAAGAGAAGGGGAAATTTTCCTTCTAACCTTATATACTCTTCTTTAATTTGTTAGAGAAAACAGGCATTACCTTTATAATTAAAAAACAAGTAAAAGTTAAAAAAGAAGGAAAACTAAGGGGAAATGAGAGCGCACAGGTGGGACTGTGCACCCCAACTCTCCTGGCTTCCGAAGGCCGTCTCATCATTCTGTCGGGAAGCCCAGCGCATTCTGCGGTTTTTCCTAGGGCTGTGTAAGCCCAGAACATCACGGGGCCTCCGGCAGAGACGTAGCCCACCAAGGCTGCTGTGAGGATTAAGTGAGATGATGTATTTTAGTCACTAGGAAACTGCTGGCTTGCAGTAAGCGCTCCAAAACCAGCGGCTCTCGTTGTTCATTAAATGGATCCTGCAGTCCAGTCCCCTCTCCTGCCAGGTCCTTCTTGCTGGTGCAAGTAAGCATTCAAAGCAGGTGTACAATGCTTAGTTTCACGTCAGGGCTGTAACTGCACCTACTTGCCAGCAAGACCACTTTGGAAAAGCTGTCCACCCAGGGGTGCTTGTGCAGCTGGAAACCACGGCTCGCGGTTCCGCTGGGCCCAGAATGCACTGCTTCCCCATCCCCCGATGAGAATGCACCTGATGGTCACCGCGCAGACGGTACACCTTGGCCTTTGCGAGTTGATACTGCTCACTCCTTCAGTGTAAGAAGAAAAAAAAAGTTAAAGCAAAAATAGTTACTGGTCACTCCTTTAGTGTAAGAAGAAAAAAAAGTTTTCAAAGCAAGTGAAAAACAGAAAGTAGAGTAAGCCTGCTTCCTCCTGCCGCACCTCCTGGAGACGTCGGCCTCTCACAGACCCAGGATCCTTTGCAGGCGAGCACAATGGACGTCCCGGCTGTGCGACCACATAAAACCCACGATGTCAAAAAAAATTGGCAAAAAAAGAGCTTCTGAGCCCTTATTTTACTATAAAATGTTTGCTTTCTCTATCACAGAGACTGAAAGCAATGAAACTGTGGTCACAGGCCTACGACTGCACGTAGGACCCAAAAAAGCAGTCACTGGTATGCTGGAATGCATGCACAGTCACAAGTAAGGAAAAAACAAGCCAGATGGACGCAGTAATGAAGGAGCTGCTCCTGGGGTCCCAGCTGCTCACAGCTGTGGGAGCCCCTGTAGCAGCCTGGCCGGCCTTTTTCGGCTGCACTGGCTGTACTATGTTGTGATGTTTTCCAACAACTTGAGAATCAGATTTTATTTTCTTATAAACTCTTTTAATACCTTCCTTAATAAGGAAGAAAAATGTTAAATGCCTTGACTGATAAGTAGAAAAACTCATTTAGGATTTGGCTCACAAATTCCAAGTGGTAAAAGCCCAGTCACATGAAGGCTGTACCCAGGCCACGAGAACTGCGAGGCTGGAAATCACACACAGTTCTGGGCACGCGTTTACGATTGTGCAAGATCTGTGTTTCGTGCTGTGATTGAATTGCTTCAGGATGGAGAAGCTGCCATACTGCCTGAGCTCTGTCCGTCATGCCGCCCACCCCCTGCAGGATAAACCCTCTTGCCGGGGTTTTCGGCCCCAGGACAAGCCCGTGGGGAGCTTGGGGCGGTCATTCTGTCCACCACCTAGGTGGCTGCCGACCTGCATGCCTCACTGCTGACGAGTGCTGGTCTGTGTTTTCAGAACAGACACCCAGACACAGATTTTCTCTCTCTCTCTCTCCATTTATTTTGAGCTACTCAGGAGAACTGTATCCTATTTATCTCCATTCACTGAATGCCCGACAGCAAGTTCAATAAATATTTGTTGAATGAATAAAAGGAAATCTGTTCTCTACTTCCTGGGGGAAGAGTGATGCCCAGTCATGAGTAGAGCTTTGTGATACCAGGCGTTAGAAGGGCCAGTCTGTCTTTAATCGTATTACAGGAGAGGGAGGGAATGGGGAGGTCAATGGGGTTTGGAAAAGAGCTGCCCGTTCATTTATCGGTCTGTCCAACAATTATTTGCTGCGCCAGACGCTGGTGTACAGCGGTGGACCACCCACGTGGTCCGCTGGGGACGCAGACGAGAGGGCAGAGGTGCTGTGAAGGAAACAGCCGGCTGTTAGGACAGCCATCAACAGACAGGGTGGCCGGGAGGCCGCGTTCAAGCTGAGATCTGAAGGGAGAGGAGGCCAAGAAGAGGAGCTGTGCGGTTTGTAGTTGAGATTCGAAAGCAGGCCCGGGGCCAGAGCAGGTGGGCAGGGAGGCAAGGACTTGCTGGGAGAGGAGGAGCCCAAGACCGGGCCAGGGAATTGGGTTTCACTCCAAGTCCAGCTTCTTTAGGAAAACAGAAAACTGACCTCTATTTTCTGGGATAAGGAGCTTAGAGTGGTACCTGGCCTATAGCAAGTGTGGTAAATGGTGGCCATTTCTACACATACAGCACCCCGCAAACGAGCAGGGTTGCGTGGGGTGCTTAGGGCTCGGACGGCAAGGTGCTCGTTTACCTGACAGCTTCACGTTCATTTAGCAGCTTCTCCACACAACCATTAAATTCCAGACAAAATAAAATTCCACTGAGAAAAGGGAAAGTTTGTGATTGACCCTCAGATGTTCGGTATTTCTTTATTCTAAATGCTCGAAGGCCAGCATACAAGACCCTGTTGTCGGTACTCTCAGTTTAGAAAGAGGTGAGGTGGATCGTTTTCATCTGTTCACACAAAGCACTGCAAGTCTTTGCACAGGTGGCCATTTCAGAAATGAGAGTCACAGCTAATCAGACACTTAGCCCACATGCCTTGGTGATTTTAATGATACGATTTGTTGCTATGAGACAAAAACATGTTGTGCAGGAAATAATCTGTTGGAGCCGTATGACCTTGATTCAGAGGCTCTTGATCAGCAGCATTCACACCCACTCTCCGCACGAGACAAACCCGGTGACTAGAGCTTGGTAGTCCTTTTAAGGCAAATAAAACACTATTAGCCCATCATTCCTTTGTTCTCGCTTCCAGGGGTTAGGAAAAATCAGCAGGCGGGGAGTGGGCAGCCTCGAAGCCCCACACCTAGCAAGCAGACAGTAGGGCCCTCGCCGGCTCCTCTCCTGGGTGCAGGAAGCGGGCATGTGACTGTCCCGGCCCACTTACTGGGTGCGCCATGCGTGCCGGGCCTGTGCTTGGAGACAGGCTGGCAGTGGACATGGTCCACAGAGCATGGATGCTCGTAGGCAAGGCAGGCGGAGGTGACAAGGGAGAGTCACACTTACACAAATGCATGATAAGCTCTGGGAAGAAAATAAAACCAAAGGGTCAGGTAGGACAGGGCGACAGGGTGGGGGTGGGCCTCTCTGGACAGGCGGTAGCCCACCTGAGCTCTGGATGACAGGAAGTTGGTCTGTGAAAATACAGGGTGAGAATATTCTGGGTAGAGAGGATGTCAGACAGGGTCCCAGAGCTGGGGACAAGATCCATCTACAAGCAGGGTCGGTCCCTGCCTGGCGACTGGACGCGGTGGTGCTTTTTGCCCTTTTCTATTGTCCGAGCTGCAGCCTTTTGTCCTGAAACTCCCCCTGGCGATCTGGACCCGTTGTGATGTGCCTGGCCTGCCAGGAATGCGGCGACACCAGACCACATGGTGTATCTTACCCCAGAAGGGCCTCCTGTACCAGCCGGGGGCCTGGGATGGGCCCAGGAGCCTCCTTTGATCCTCGTCCCCTTCCTCAAGCCTCTAAGGCCATGACCAGGCCTAAGCAACAGCAGGTCGAGGTCAGGCCCAGGAGACAGCCCGGGCTGGACGTGTGTTCACTCCCGCTGGATGACGTGCAGCAGCAGGGACCTGGCTGGTGTCTGGGCTGAAGCAGACAGTAGACCGAGGCCTGGCAATCTGCCCACTGAGATACCGGCTCGGGCACGTGTCAGCGTCATCAGCCACGTTGCCCGCGTCCTCGCAAGGGAGACCCGGAGGCGGCCAGATCGTGAGCATGCGTGTTGTCTTCTGTGCAGTGCTTGAGGCCGTCACCCCAAGTGGCCCCTGACCACTCACAGAGGGGGAATGAGACCCTCAGCCGCATCCTCACCCGCACTCGGGCTCCAGCACACTGTGCTGCTTCCGGCTCGCCTGCTGTTCTCCCGCTTTGCACCCCGTTATGCGCCCAGCCTGCATGGAAGGCAGGCTTGATCATTACTCTTACGACCAGAAAGACAGACCAAGGAATATTGTTTTGAAAAACAAGGTCCCTTCTTGCCCAAACCTCCTGGGTCATCCAGCTGCTCACCTGGGCAGAGGAGCAACATTTGGATCACCAGGAGGCACCTGGTTTACGGTACACAGTCAGGCGCCTGACCTTCTCCAGCCCCTTGTAGGCTGGGCCTGCCCCTAGGGCGCTCCCCAGCCAGACCTGGGCCTGCCCCTAGGGCGCACCCCACACGGACCACTCCGAATGCCCACACCTGGGCTGCTCTGGGCCTGAGCAGCTCCCTTCGAGACGCACTGGGCCCCTGCATGCCTCCGCTGGTCTTCAGGTCTCTCTCTCACCTGGCCAGGGTGGCTGCTTTCCCTGGCCTGGCTGGGACCGACTGTGTCCCAGCTCACACATTCACACGCGTCATCGCAGCCCTGGTGGGGCCCTGGGGCTGTGCTCTCTCGGGCCCTGTCCCCAGGTGCACACGGCCTCGGCGAGGGAGGACCGAGAGCTGGGAGGTGTTGCCAACTGGCCAGCTGCTTCCCAGGGGCATGTGCCAAGTTTTCATTCAGTCGCTTCTTCCTGGGAGGGAATGGCATACACGTGTGAGTGTGTGTGTGTTTCAGGGGATCCACGTCGGGGAGGAAAAGGAGCAGTAATTCTCTCTTTGTCACGTGGATAGCTTCTCCAGCCTTGGATTCTGGCACCTGGGGGGTCACGCTAGGAACGGGGGTGTGAGAGAAGTTCACCGTTGGCTTGTCCCGCCTTATTAAGAGGGCTGCATGGAGCTCGTGCTTTCCAACTGGACCCAAATTCCTGTTCTACACATGTTTTTATTTAGGAAAAGAAAAATGACTTAATTTATGAAAGCTATCGAGTCAATAACAGTACAGAAATTTACCAAATACCTGGGAGGGGTAAGTGGCATCAGGATCCCTCAGTTAGTATGAGGACCAGCATTTGCCCCGGGCTCACCCTCCTTCCACAGGAAGGGGCTGATCTTCCTGTCCTCTCTGCTGTCTTCATCCACAGATGGCCGTGGCTACCCGCAAGCGGCCTACCAGCAAGCCATCCAGCCAGCTCTGCCTGGGCCACCCCTGCCTGGAGCCTGTGTGAGAGGCCAGCACCCCGTGCAAAAGGTCATGGTGAACTGTCCCGGCCCCTGGGCCCAAGAAGAGAGGCTTGGACAAAGAGACCACCCCTCCCCAGGGCTCCCACGGCACCAGTAAGTGACCAGCCAGCCTTCCAGCGTTTCTAACATGAAAAAGAATGATGCCAGTGCCATCAAGTTGCACCAAAACTCTTGTCGGTTTGCCCCCCGGGTGAGTGACCAGCCCACACAGATGCCTTCTCAGGTCAGGGGGAAATGAAGCTGGTCGACAAGAATCCCTTTAGCAGAGACGTGATGCCGCTGGTGACTAGTCACGGCTTCCTTGAAGGAAAGACAGACACACCCCCCTCCTTTACATTCAGCTCGCCTGGCGTTGTAGCCCACGAAACAGATTTCTGTTTTTACTATGACTTCCACTGTTAGGAAGTTCCTTTTTGTATCCCTAGTTTCTTTACCTGCTTAAACCCATTTGTTCACTTTGAATTTTTAAATTCAGTTAGTTCTCAATAGGAGCTTAAAATAACCCATTAGCTTCTTTTGTAATAACAGCATTTGCACGTGCTGAACACCATTCTGAGGGCTGACCTACACTTCTTCCAGAAAGACGATTCTGGCTTCTCTTGACTTCAGCCGTCCGACCCTGTGATCATGTTTCTCCTCACGGTTCTCTCTCACTCTTCAAGTTTTCCTTTTCTCTTAACGGATAGATCTCAAATACACAGGAAAAACTCAAGTGAATGGACTTTCATAATTCATGATAAAATTGGAAAGAGAATAGATGAAATGTTTGGCCTTGTTTAAGCACAGCTTCTACATACTCCCTCAAAGTAGCACTGTCTGTGTTTTGGTGCTAGAATGAGGCATGAAGGGCCTACGAAAGCAGATTTTTCAGCAAAACAGAAATCAGTAGTTAGCTCCAAAAGTTCATGGAAAGGAAAAAAGCCCACTATATATTTGCAATGGCAGATAAGGCACATGCCTTCTCTCCACTTTACTTAAAAGCCCACCAGTCCTCAGATTTTCTTTTGAGACAGAGTCTTTTTTTTTTTTTAAACAAAATTGCATGGAGTTTAGATAATTAAGTAAAATTAATTTTTGTATTTATTAAGTAAAAAGTGATTTTACTGCTGGATAAGCCCTTAGTGCAGAAGGAATACCTAAAATTCCAAGAAAACAAATGAAATTTAAGCATTTTTGTGAAATGTTTTGTGTCGAATAAGGGAGGCAAGAGTAATTTTTGAAGTAAACGTTTGTTTTGAATAATTTTAGATTTACAGAAGAATTGCAAATAGAGTACAGAGTAATTGCTTTTGTGACATTGTTCTAAGCCTGCTATGCAGTCTCCTTGGGTTTATTTCATTTTAGGATAATGAAAACTAAGTTCAGGTAATGATGTTAATTGTCCTCTTACTGGTAATTTGAAAGAGAACCAGAACCTTAATACAGAAAGTCACTCTGTCATTAATCTCCACGATACTGCTTTTATCTGGAAGTTTTGTTAATATTACTGAGGCCTTCACCATGCTTTATCAAATGAGCAATTGTCTTTTAGAGCAACTAAAAAACTTTAGGTATAAAGGGATTTAATGTGAAACAAGATATGGAAGTAGGACGCCATTAGATGAAGACACATATTACAGGAATTTTTTTCTAAAAATATAAAATGAAAATAATTTCCTCAGTCACATTTTAGAAATTGAGTATACTTGAGATTCTGTGTAATTTTATTTTAAATCCTATTACATAAGTCTTTCAATTTTTTTATTTTGGGGTGGTAAAAATTTGAAAATATAAGCAACAATCTATAAAAGCCAGGCATATGCACATAGATTTTATAACCAAACAGTTCTTTAAATTTTTCATATAAAACAATCTCAAACACAAAAAATAACAAACATCCACAGTCCCACTACCTAGATTTTTAAAAATGTTAATGTTAACATATTTCCACTTGCTTCAACGTTTCTTTTGTAAAGAAATTAAACATTATAGACTCAGTTTTAGTGCCCCTATCAGTCAGTATTCAATTACAGAAAACAGAAACGACTCTAGCTGTTTTAGAAGGAATTTAATGTAGGGAACTAGGTGTTCACAAAATTGTTGGGGGTTGACGGAGCAAGCCTAGGCTTCTAGGAATGACCACAGAACAGGACACCAAATGACCTGCTTCCTCAGTGCCCGCCAGAGAGGCTGAGTACCAGAAAGCCACCAGGGAGCACCCCGTGCCAGGCCACACGTCACAGCAAGTCTAGAGTCAGGAAGCACCACCCACCACAGATGGATCCGTCCCGCGTCTGTTAGGTCTGCGCTGGCCAAATACAGATGCCTGTGCCCTGACCGTGACCCCGTGAAGCCGGTAATGTGAGCTGGGATGTCTCAAGGAACTCAGCACCTCGCGCCTGCGCTTCAGAGTGCATGTGGGAATACTGGCAACTATATAGCATATAAGAACAGGGCAGAAACTTCTTTAAAGGTCTTCCAAGTGAGATTTCATCCATATATCAGCAACATAAATACTTTTAAACCTCCCTTTTATACATAATTACATGTTCTCTGTATCATGAGCTATGTCCTCTTTTTATCCGAATGTCTGTAGCAGCAGCTTTGTACGTCACCCATTATGCTGTTAGACTTATCTTCCCATCCGACAGCCCTTGAATGCAGAAAGCGAATCCCATTTCCCTCTTTTGATCCCGAGCATAGGCCCTCCTTCCTCAAGGCAGGTGGCCGAGCTGCTTATTGACTGAAACTCCATGCAGCAAACAAAGCTCATTCCTCTGGCTCAGAAAAGAAATGGAGGCAGAGGGAAAAGGTCGCTCGCTGGTGTCCCCCGTAGTTCTTAAAGGCTTTCTGTGCCTCAAGGTTTGCCTCTGAAAAAAAAAAATTGAAAATTCACTGTGAATCATTCCTTTCCAGGGACCAGCTGTATAACCAGCCTCCTGACGAGTGCCCGGAGCACCCTGCAGAGTTGGGACCACAGGGTGCCCAGGCGCCACCCGCAGCTGCTGTCCCCAGACCCCCCAGTAACCCTGCGGCCAGGGGAACTCTGAGAACAAGCAGTCTTCCAGAAGAACTGCGTAAGCTGTTTGCAGTGCTGTTGTCCCTTCTCCTTGTCAGGTCTTATACTTTGAGAGTCCGTGATTATTCGTCTGCAGTCCTAGATATTTATTGCAGACACAATGACATGAAATTTTTTTTTTCGCTTTTTGCTAAAAATGTAACCAGCGCTTTGTATGAATGTTTTCAGTGAATCTGACACTAGCAGTGGTGTTCACAGGGCACTTGCTCCTGAATTTCTTGAGCTTAACTCCAACAACAGATGACTTCCATGCCTTTTCCTCTTCTAAGTGAGGTTCTTGAGTGGACTTGCCCCTGGATAAACTGATGGATGTCCTGTGGTGCTGGCCAGGACCTAGCGTCTCCCCATGAGTTAGCGGCAGCCATTGAGGATGAGGTCATTTCCTGTAGGAATAAGCAATCCTGTTTGCAGAAAGCTGTCTCGCATTCTCCTTCCTGCTTCATGACCAAGCAAAACCTGAGCCTTTTGTTCAAAGAAACAGTCGACTAAGTGTCGGGTGGCGGTCCCTTTTCCACATCTTGCAGACAGAGCCCGAAATGTTGGAACATCACCAGAACGTTCTCGGGATAAGGTCAGTCAGAGCAGTGAGCTCCAGACACCTCAGGAAAACAGCTGCTCCTTGTGAGACTGTTACGTTCTAAGGTGCTGCTGGAGACACTCAGGTGACGCTAACTAACCCTTTTTCCAAATTGGGCATCTCCAAACCAAACTTGAAAATGACGCCCTTTCCAATTGCTAATTCCTAGTGGGATGTGCGTGCTGTCCACCATTCAGAATGCTGAAAGATTTCTAGGACAACGATCCATTGTTATTTTACGTTCAAATATATTTTTTTTCTTCTTAAAATACTACACATTTTAATTTTGAGCAGTTTTGGAGAATGCATGCTGCCCTGCATAGGATATAGTCCCAAGGTCAGTCTGTAGATCATATTGATCTTACCGTGATCTATAAAGGGAGCCCTAAAATTCTTACATAGGAATTGATTGATGATCAGGTGTCGAGAAGAAAATGAATTGAGCACCAATATGCCTGGAAGCTCAAATGAGCCAACGCGCCTCCTGTTCACACTCCCACCAGAGGCGGGTGTTTCAGGAAACCAGGGCCTAAGCGTGGGTGGACACCTACAGACGCGTATTTTCCCTGCAACCACCCTTCTTTCCCACCTCTGCCCAGGGGCTTTGTGAGATATAGCCAGTCCCTCCCAGACTAAGAGCCAACACATACTTGCCCACCACGTTAATGTGCTAGCCAGCTGGTTGCCCCAAGGCCGTGCGAGCAAACGCTGGTCCTCACCATGGCTGGGTCCAGCTGCTGGGCAGGAGGCCGCCTGTGGCTCTGGGCTGTCCCAAGGGGGGCGAGGGGGCCAGTGGCCCCGGAGTGCCCTGCGGCAGCACCTGCCCTTCAAGCTGCTCAAGTTCCGATGAACATTTCTGAACTGCACCTACTCCAGATTCCTGGGTTTCCCCCCAGTGAGTGGATGGGGGGAGGCGCAGAACCCCTTCCTCCCCCACCCTCCCCTGCTCTCATCTAGCAAGGGGTCAGCTCTCATCAAGCAGAGAGCATCGTGAGGTCAGGGGAGGAGGACACTGCCGGGTGGCCCCACAAGGCCTAGCATCCCCGGCTGCTGGAGAGCCCTCCTCACGTACACAGTGGTGGCCTGGCCCTACGGACCCGCGGGCTCTGACGGGTGTTTTGCTGGTGTGGCCTTTCAGAGGGTCTCCTCAGCCTGTCTCAGCCCGCCTGCCTGCGCCCTGGGCTCCCCTGTCCCCACACCCGAACAGTCTGCACGCCCTGGGCAGACTCCTGCCTGGGGCCTGTGCACCTGCGTCCCGAGGACGGCTGCAGGCCTAGGCGCCCCCCCCACCTGTCCAGAGGCGGCCCTCTCGTATTTGTGGAGGACAGAAGGCATGGCACACAGTTCACAAGTGTTTGGAATAGAATAATTTGACTAGTTTCTAATGAGCGTGAAAATCTCTCTAGGGAAAGTCTTTATCACTTATTCTATGGACACAGCCATGGAGGTGGTGAAATTTGTGAAGTTCCTGTTGGTAAATGGCTTCCAAACTGCAGTAAGTATTTTATTCAAAGGGGAAACTGAGCAATTAGAGTAAATACATTGAAAGAAAAACAAGGGGAAAACCTTTACATAGCTGTTGATATGCTAAGCTGTATTACTTCACCCGCTTATTTTACAAGGTCCTTCTGCTGTGCACTGGGCTGTGAGGTTTGAAGTGGGAGCCATGCACAGCTGCTGCTCCACACCGCGATGCACAGCAGCGCTTAGGGGCAGGAACACACCACACGTTCTGGGGGGTCTGGTCTAGCTCTAAAATGCAAATGTACGTGTAAGGTATATTGCAGCTTATATCCAATTTGGGGGTCTCAGATTTTTAAAACACACTCATTATGTAGGCAGAGACATTTTCATGTGTAGCACTGTGTCCTAATTATGGATGTCAAGTACTTGAAGGCCTACTAATGTTGAAGTAGGGAAACTGCATTTTGTTGTTTTGACTTCCGTGCCCCTCCTGCCTGCTAAAAATGTTAGTAGCTTTTTCAGTTTTAAATGTAGGGTCTCCTGTGCTTTCTCTCGCCCTGCATCTAGAGCAAGCTTCTCGTAGAAAGCTATCTGCCACACCTTTTTCTTGTAGATTGACATATTTGAGGACAGAGTCCGAGGCATTGATATCATTAAGTGGATGGAGCGGTACCTCAGAGATGTAAGTACATCCTGGCACTCTGAACTCGTTTTCTGGCGAGAAAGACCGTCAACTAGCTCGTGAAGCTGTTCATGAAAGGAGCCGGCCGGCCCCCAAGTCCCAGCTCAGAAGGTCCTGCAGGCAGCAGCCTCATGGGGACGTGGACAGGAGGGACGGGCCGCCTCCTGCACGTGCACAGGCAGGACTGACGGTCCAGCCCCTCTCGGGCGGTCGATGGCCATCAGAGCAAACATTATCTTGCCCAGAACCGGGAAGAAGGAAATGAAGGCGGGGAGGGGCAGGATTCAGCTCAGTCTGGAGCCCCACCAGGTGTTTTGTCGGGCTGGGCTGCAGGGGTTCCTGGGCAGCCTCGCCACACGCCCACTCACAGCCCCCGGGCTGGTGCTCCACCCGCAGGACCTCTGCGGGCCCCTGGGACACCTCTGCTTCCCCGGGGCAGGGACTGGCTGCTGCCCTGCGTCCACACAGGCCTCTGGGGCTGCTTCCTTTGTGGGGAGCCGTGGGGTCAGAGTCCCCGCAGGCTGGGGTTTTTCGGCCTTTCCTTTTGCCCACAGCCTGATGCTGTCTGTCAGGGCCTGTTCCTCCTGCCTGAGCCGAGCATCGTCCTGCTGCCAGCAGGGCACTCACGCTGGCCAGAGCCAGTTGCCCGGGGGCCTGGTCGCTGGGGCTGCTGGTGCAGGATCACTGTGACGCAGGCTTTCACTCGCCATCTATCCGCGAGGGCTGTGGGCAAACCGCGTCCGCTTAGGAGAGCTCCTCTCGGAGCCACTGGCCCCGCCACTGGGCAGAGCCATGAAGGAGAAAGAGGGGAGTGGGGCGCCTTTCTCTAAGCGCAGACGCAGATCCCAGCCCCGTGCTGCAGTGCATCGGGGCCACGGCGGTCCGCTGGCGATGACCTGCCCGCCTCTGCCCCCTGGGCCACACTTTGCGCTCTGTAAGTGCGCTTCCTCCCTCGTTAACAGAAGACCGTGATGATAATAGTGGCGATCAGCCCCAAATACAAACGGGACGTGGAAGGCGCCGAGTCACAACCGGACGAGGATGAGCACGGATTACACACGAAGTACATTCATCGGATGGTGAGTGGGGGGGCCTCCTCCGTCCTCTGTGAGACCCCGAAGGCAGCCTGCAGGGGGAGGAAGAGCCCCGGGCAGGAGGGGGTGCTGCTCTGGCTCCGTCTGCCTATGGGACCTTGGGCAGGTCATCGCGTCTCTGGACTCCGTGCCCTGTCAGCGCCAGGGGAGATTAACCCGGGGTCTCCAAGTGCCAGGACTCAGCGGGTGGGGCGCTGCTGGCTTGGCTGTGACCAGCAGACATGAAATCCCAGAAGCGGGAGACGGGAATGTGAGGGGAGCGGGCTCCTGCGCCGCCATCACGGTCTGCCCGCTGCCTGCAGAGAGGCGGAGGAGCCTGGTGACAGGGACACAGTATTGTGCTTCAGACCGGCTTCCTCAGGTGCCGGCGTGTGACCACGAGCCAGCCGCTTCTGTCAGTCCGTGCCTCCGTGTCTCTATTCATGAAATAGGCCGCTAATACTTACAGTGCCTTGTGAAGATCAGATGAAATACACTGCCAAGTGTGTGGCCCACAGTGGACGCTCCATCGAGGGCAGGGACTGTTCTTAGCTCACGGCAACAAGGCCCAGCGCACCTGAGCTCTGGGGCCCGGTCACCCTGGGACAGACGGAGGAATGTACAGGGAGCTGGAGGCGCAGCCTCTGGGGGAGCTCTGGAGACATCGCCCCTTGGACCTGGGGGTGAGCTAGTGGTCTCCCGCTTCCCTGAGTGTGTAGATGGTGGGGACACAGTTTGCTTGGTGGGGGCACGACTAGACTTGTGACTTTCAGACTCTGTACAGCCCCCAGTGGGCGGCTGTGGGCCTCCCACCCCCCTCAGCCAGAGCTGGTCTGCCTCTCTCAGGCTGTTACCAAGGATCCTGAGTTTTACGAAGGCTTGAGAACCACTGGCCTGGACCCTGTAAACTCCATTTCAGCTCTGGCTCTGCACAAGCTGGGAGGTGCCTGGATGGGGCATAAGCAACGAACCAGGAAGACGGGCGGGGGCGGAAGAACCGGGCAGCTGAGGGCCGAGAGCTTCACCTTGGGGGTGACTTAAGTCCAGGTCTGTCCTGTGGGTCAGGAGCTCAGAGAAAAGGCAGAGGGGGTGGGAGCTGTGTTCCCCTGCGGGTCCTCAGTGTCTCTGTCCCCCTTCTACCAAGTGCCGCCATTTATTTGGGCTTGGAACCAACCCAAAGTAAAAGCTGAGGCAAATGGGGGCTCAGGAGTAAGGCTGAGAGTCCGGAGATGGTACCCCTCATTTCCATTCTCTCCCATTGGTGGGTCCAGGAAAGGCACCGTTTCTGCCCTGAAAGGTCCTGGCGGCTCCGGGTGCCGCCATCCCTGTCTGGCGGCTGCGTGTCCGCACGGCCCCAAGCACTCCACGTCCTGTCTGCATGTCTCGGAAGCTGCCAGTCCCGGGAGCTGCCAGCTGGTGCGTGGGAAGGGCCCAGGTCCCTGCCAGCTCCTGAGGACAGCTGTCAGGCACTAGCGCACAGCCTGACCTCAGGGCTTGTCTGACTGCCCAGCCGTGACCCAGGGTGTCTCCAGATTCAGTTTCCTGGGGCAGTGATGTCTGGGTCCTTCGCTATCCCTGAGGAGGTGGAAGTGGCCAGACACAGACGTGCCTTCCTGCACACCTGGCTGACTTCCTGGTCCCCTCCTGGCAGCAGAAAACTCCAGGACAGAGGGAGTGAAGAGGTGCCTGTGAATAACTGCGTCACAGAGCCGATGATGTCACAAAAAGCCAGTATCTGGAAATATGGGAGGAAATTAGAATGCACCACTGCCAGCTGGCCCCTCAGCAGACTGGGGAGCCTAGTGGATGAGCAAAACGGCAGTACGCGCCACCCTGGAGTCAGGCCGCAGTCCCGCTCTGCACTCTGATGCCCGCCCTGTGCCCTTTGTGCAGGCGTCTGCCCCCGGGTGGTGGGTCTGTTAGGAGCATTGCTCTCGGCTCATCTTCTGGTTTGTGGTTCTGAGAAGTCAGCTCGTGCAGGATTGGTGTGTGTGCATGGGTGTGTAAAAGGTTGTTCAAGAGGGGTTTCCACTGTAGTTGTCATCCCGGCCACCCCCTTCTCTGCTGCACAATGGAGGCATCTGTTATAAAACAGCGGTAGATGAAACGGTTGGGAACACGTAATTCCTCATCTCCATGTCATCAGAGGACTGAGAGCTTTGTGCTGGTCACAGGATTTGGAAGACTCTAACTCCCCTCATCTTGAACATTCTGGTTTTGATAGAGTTCTTGGCAGCTAAACCTTTTTGGGCTGCCGCAGCTCAGAGTAAACTGGACCTAGTGTGGGGAGCCTAAAGCTTGGTAGGCAGCGCTCGCTCCCTCCCATCTGGCTGCAGCCACCATGCCTCTGAGCTGGTCCCAGCCCCAGCAGCGTTCAGGCCCCCAGACACTGGTGAGCATGTCCTCTCCTCCGCCAATTTCCCGGCTGAGCAAACCTCTGTTTGCAGCATCCAAGTGGCACCTCCCCTGTAACTGTCCTTCGAACGCTGCTGCACGATGCAAGGTCCCCAGGTGGGCTTCCACACCAGTGCGTTCATGGTCTTCACAGCACACCGCTTTAGCAGTTCACCTCTCTGTTGTCTCAGTAATCTGCTGGCTTTGGGAAGATAGGAATCATATCAGTGGTGTTATGGCAAACTGGTTCTCAAAAAAAAATTCTGATTTGTAGCATTTGCCCATCCCCATAGCAGGGATGCTCCCACCAGGGCCAATTTCAAGGTACCAATGTGAAGCCACTGAGCACAGGGTTGTGCAGAGACACACACAACTGGCCTTTGTGAGCTGGGTGGAGCTGGCGCAGCGTACACCAAAGCTGTCCCAACTCTTGAAACCCAATCTAGCACAGAGCGTGACTTTTAAGGGGCCTTCAGTGAATGACTGAGGAGCGAGTGGATGGCATAGATGTGTGATGTGGAGAGCTTAAACTTGTAAATGTGGGGCACTCGGGTAAGGAGATCGGAACTAAAGACCAGGCAGGCTTCGTGGGCAGGGCTGCACTCCCCCCTAGTTGCGGCTGAAATCAAACCTCCAGGTTCATTCTGTTCCAGATGCAGATTGAGTTCATACAACAAGGAAGCATGAATTTCAGATTCATCCCCGTGCTCTTCCCGAATGCTAAGAAGGTGGGCAAATGACAACCTGTCGCTCGAGCTCTGGTCGGTTTGCTCTCTGAGGTTGTTGGTGGGAAAGCATGTCAACTCTCCATCAGGCCTTAGAGACAAGAGCATTGTGGGGAAGATGGACCAGGTGCCCTGCTCAGAGCAGCAGCGTGGACAGGCTGGTACTTGACCGGGTCAGCCAAGCCATTAGCATTATCTAGCAGGTCACACGTCCTAAGGGCTCATGGCCATCACACATACAAAGCCGTCTGTGTTAACTCACGAGAGAAAGGAGGCTGTTTGCTGGGAACACGTCTCTCCCTGTTCCACATACAAGCCAAGGCGCACCCTCCTGCCCCCTGGGCCCTGGCACCTGGTTGAGCTCTCAAAGCTGTAGAATGCAGGAATGAAATCTATGCAGTTACCAAAGTGGACTTTGCTGGAGTTCCTGTGGGGCTTTTGCACCAGGAGGACATGCCAGCGGGTTTGGGTATGGGCAAAGCCCACTAAGGCCCTGTGCCAGGCCTGGCAAAGGGAAGGCAGGTGTGGTAAACATCTTGAGAATCAGACCACAGCACCCTGAACTCAGGCCCAGTGTCACCCCGGAGGACCCTAAATGTCAGGGACTGCATCGTGACGTCTGACCTGGATGAGGTAGGGTCGACAGATGTGAGCAGGACTCCGAGGGGAGTACAGGTCACAACCCGCGTGATCGCATCCTTTCCATCCTCACCCAGCTCCCCATTGCTCTTGCTGCATGATCTCCTCTCTGGTCCCCTGTCTCTACTCTGTCCCTGTGCTGACTGTCAAACAGGAACAGCCAACATGCAAACCCGATAGGTCTCTCTCCAGCTCAGAAATTCTGTGGTGGGTTCCCACTGACTGTAACATCATATCAGTGTTTTTAGTAGGAGGCCCCTTGGAAGAGGGCTGTGCCCACGTGCTCAGCCTCCTGTCCGGGGCACACATAAGTCCAGCTCTCGTCACACTGGCCTGTCTCAGCTGGCCCTCACGCGCACCACACTCTCGTGTGTCTGTGCCTTTGTGCTTTCTGTGCCCTCTGCTCACAGTGCCCTTCCCTGACTTGTCTGCCCAGGAAACTCTTGCTCAGCCTTGGATCCCCCAGCCTTGCTAGCCTTGTGATGTCCCCATATACTGAGCTGTGCCTCTCTAAGAGCTCTTAATCAAGTGCCTTGAGTCAAGGGTGCGTCGTTGGGTGGGGATGCTGGGAGCAATCGCTCAGAGCTGCTGGAGCATGGGGATAGAAGAGCGGACCACCGTCAGCTGCTTTTACTGCTGTTTTTGAGCCTTCAGGCCATCCCCTTTGCCTGACTCGGGGGAATCTGCTCCCTCCGCCTGCCCCTGCGGTATGCCGTGGCCTAGAAAATAGTTTCTTGATGTTTTGGCATCAGAAGACTATGAACGCGTCAAGGCAGTAACTGTTTCATGTGGGTCCCCGGTTCCCGCAGTGCCTGGCTTCCCACTGGTGCTGCTGAGCTCACCCTGCAGTCCCCGGCGTCCCACCCCTCAGAGTAAAGCCCATAAGGTCCTCCATCCTGGCCTCCCCTCCTTCTGCACCTCTCTCTTTCTTCTCTAGCTCCTGCATGAAGCCGGGAATGCTCCCCCCACAGGGCCTTTGCACTGCCTCTCAGATCTTCCTGGACCCAGACAGCCACAAAGCTTGCTCCCCCTGTCCATTTTCTCAGGGAGACCCTTCCTAACCACACTGTTTAACAGACCTTTCAGCCCTGCCCAGCACTTCCTACCCCCATTCTCTGTTTTATTTTCCTCCACAGCACACACCACCGTTGAACACACATCCATTTTACTTTTTCATTATCTGTCTTTCCCCAAACAACGTCCTCTCATGAGGGCAGTCAGCAACTGCACCCCACAGTCCCCAGTGCAGTTTCTGTTCAGCCTGATAACTGGGATCTGTGGGCTCCCTTTACTGCAGGCCAAATCTGTAGCTGGAATGAAAGGAAAATAAATTATTTTTTAAGCCCATGGCCTCCGTGTACTTCTTCTGAAGCCACAGAGGAATTCCCATCACTCTGCATGGCCTCTGTCCCACCCCTTTCATGTGAGGTGGTGAAAAGCATGTTGAAATGTAAAGGGCAGGTGGCCATGGAGGCCGTGCACATCTGGTTTCCGTGATGAGATACACAGCCTGTGCCCAGAGCCGTGAGCGTGTCCGTGCAGCCTCCTTCCAAAAGCAAAGTGGCTGAAGTCCCAGGACAGCTGGGCAGGAAACGTGCTTGGAGGGGAAGCCATAGCCGTTTGGGAGCCNAGCCGTGAGCGTGTCCGTGCAGCCTCCTTCCAAAAGCAAAGTGGCTGAAGTCCCAGGACAGCTGGGCAGGAAACGTGCATGGAGGGGAAGCCATAGCCGTTTGGGAGCCAGCCTGGGGTCTGCGGTCCAGGTGTCTTCACGGCCTCAGCCTCTGTCATTCTCTCACCCACAGGAGCACGTGCCCACCTGGCTTCAGAACACTCACGTCTACAGCTGGCCCAAGAATAAGAAGAACATCTTGCTGCGACTGCTCAGGGAGGAGGAGTACGTGGCTCCTCCGCGGGGGCCTCTGCCCACCCTTCAGGTGGTGCCCTTGTGATCGCTTGGGGCTGGGTGCGTGGGGCCCTGTTCTGACAAGCATTCCTCTAGCTGAGGCAGTTTTCAGTCCCTCTCAAAGGGACCCTCTGACCCCAGAAAACCTTGTCCTCCGGAGACCTCATCTGTCCTTGAAACGGGGTCGTGGCCGCTCTGGATTCCCTGCCCCTGAAGCCTGCTGCATGTTCCCCTAAGTCTGACAAGTCCATTGGGCCGCATGGTGCTTAGCAAGAGGATAGAAATGGTGTTGCAATAACTGTAAACAACCGCAAGCATCCCCGTTGCTTAAGACTGCTTTTTGAGTTAGCCAGATGTTGTGTGTCCTGACTAGACCAAACTGTGATTCATGCACAAATAATAAAATGTTTATTTGTTTGGAAGACTGTGTTTACTTATCTCAAAGGGTAGATATACAGTAATTCAAAATGATGTAGGCAGTTGCTTCCAGGGACATCAATAAAGCTGCTTAGATATATTAGATAAATGTAACAGGCCGTTCTGTGTTAGAGAATTAAAATCAGATAGTTAAACAATCCCTTTTAGCAGAATCTTGAAAGCTTTATTTGTGAAGTGGAACTTTTTAATAGAACAACTTTGTACAATACAATCTATTCTAAATAGATTCTAGATAGGGTCTGGCTACATATGTAAACATACTTGCATCATGTGAAGTGCTGGGATGTATGATTCGGGCCAGAACTTTAGGAGACCCATGCTCTCATCTTGGTTCCACCACTTACTTGCTGTGTGACCTTGAGTCCATTCACTTTTCTGAAATTCCCAGGGACTCATTTATAAAATGACATGGATAAAAGTATCTAATGACCCAAAAAGGTTCAAGGTCTACCACCTACATTCTTTTGAGTGTGACTGAGTTTTCATAATTATATCTCCCAGTTGTAATATATTTTCTTTACAGGGACATTTTCTTCTTCTTTTAAGATCTTCAATGACACCCTCATATTAATAACTTTAGAAGTAAATATGTATCTTGATCATCTGATCTCAAAAAAAAGAATACACAAACAACACTATATATGAAATATACATACAATTGAACCTTGAACAAGATGGGTTTGAAGTGTCAAGCCCATTTATATGCAGACTTTTTCAATAAATGCACTGGACACCTCTAGGTGAGATGAAAAATGAAAAAAATAAATGTACTGGAAAATTTTTTGGAGATTTGTAGCAATCTGAAAGGACATTTTCTTTTCTGTAGGTTACTTTATTGTTAGAACATAGCATGTAATACATATACAAAATATGTGTTAATCATCTTATGTTCTCAGTAAGGCATCTGATCAATAGGCTATTTAGTGGGTAGGTTGGGGAGTGTCAAACGTTATACACGGATGTTTCAAGTGTGTGTGTGTGTGTGTGTGTGTGTGTCTGTGTGTAAAATCTATGTAAACTATATAGAAAGATGACTATTGCCCAAGAGGAAGGTTTTGGAGGCTGAGAGTGAGTGCTTCTTACCCGCCTACCTGGCCAATGAAAGTCCAACTGTGCCGTGAAATAGTTCAGCCCTTAAATGTCACCATTGCCAAAAGACAGATACCAGGGAACAGTAAGCTCTGCTCATGAACCGCGAAGTGCACTAGTCCATTTACATTGCAGTCGAGATTCCTACTGGGTAAGGGGAATGCTTGTCTAAAAAAACAGGAAAAGCAAAGCAGAGCTGGTTTCCCGTAACTGGCGGGGCATTGCGGTGACAAGGGTCTGCAGCTCTGGCGCTTGAGACCCGGGAGGGCCGCCCTCCTTGCCCGCCCCCAGATGTCGGGACAGACACCCAGCCGCGAACTCGTCCCCCGGATCTTCCCCGAGGTGACGCCTCGGGGCGGATTCACACAGGCGTACAGGAAATGCCCGCAAAGGTTCGGGAAGTGATGCGGCCCCCGGCCTCCGGGCTCCCGCCCCAGGCGATGGCGAACGACGGGCCCTGACGCTCCGCGAGCGGCCGGGGAGGCGTCACGGCGGGAGCAGCGGCGGCAAAAAGCGGAACGCAGGGTACGCGCTCCCCGCCGGCCGAGGAAGCCTGCGGCCCGCGAGCGTCGAGGGGGCGCTGACGGCTCGGCGAGGGCACGGCCACCGGCACGGACGCCTTTCATGCCGGGGCCGCCCCCGTCCGCGCGCGGTAAAAACAAGCTGAGCCCCAAAGCCTCATTCAGGCCTAAACCGCCCTGAGGGGTCAGGGGCACAGAAAGCGACATCGGTGCCTGTCTGATGGTTAGTGACTCACCTAAGGTTTTAAATGTGATTCTAAATTTCAGTGACGAGTTTCAAAATGTCTGCCCATCCGGTTCTATTTCTATGTGATCAGTAGACACCTCGGCTCACGGCTGCAATCCAAGCAATGCACGAGCTGTTTCCCAGCTCGGCGCCCAGAAAAGGTGTTCATTTTTCCTTGTTTTCCTTCCGAACATCGAGCCGCCCGAGCCAGGGCAGCCGGCGCTGTGCTTTGACGCTCCGGGCCGCGTCTCGCCACGTTGGCCAAGAGCATCTCCCCCAACCCCACCCACGTCACCGCCGCCCTCGCCAAGGGGACCCCAAGTCCTGGGGCCGCGGGCACGTGGGCCGGAAAGTTCCTCAAAACACAGTAATTCTCTTTCTCGGCGACGCCGGAAGGCCCGTGAGACGCGCGCCTCGCGGCAGATGGAGAGAGAAGGCCGCCCAGCCCGCAGGCCGAGGCCCGCGTTTTCAAGATCCATTAGCTCCGTGTGAGCCCAGCCGCATGAACGACGAACGGCAGAAGAGAAGCCAGGGGCGGCCGGACCATTAGCGCGTATCATTTACTTCCGCCGCGGTGCCTTCAGGCGGGAAGCGCCTGGGGTTCCCGCGCGTGCGCAGGCGCCTCAGGCGCGAGGGACGTCGGCCCTGAGGCTGCGGCCCGTGCGGGCCTCGCCTGCACCCTGCGCACGTCCGTCGGAGCCCGGAGGGCTTTCCGGCCGTGACAGCCGGCTCGTTCCCGCGTGAGCCGCCGCCTCGCGGAGGCAAACCGAGCGTCAGGGCCGCGGGAGGCCTGGGCGGGTCTCCGCTGTCCTGCGGCCCCGCCGCGCCTTGTTCTGAGGGACACTTCGGGAATTCACTGCGGCGGGCACGCGGAGTGTGGCTTGTCTTGAAGCGGGGGGCGCATTTATTCTGTACTGACAGCCTGTGAAAGCAGAGCTCAGTCTGGAGGGTCGTGACCCCTTCCCGGAGCGTGTAGGCAGAATCCGCTGTCAGGCAGGGGGTTCCTTTCCGTTCTGGCCGACTGTGAGCCCGCATCGCCCTCACGCCGCCCCGCCGGGTGCCTCCCGGGCTGACGCGCGGCCGCCGGGACATCCCGGCCCCCCGTCGGGTGAGCACAGGACGCCCTCGGCGGGGAGGCCGCGGAAGGAGCCTCGCACGAAGGCGCGCGCCCCTCGCGCCCCACTGCGCACTGGGAAAGGCTTCGGCGGAGGCCGGGCATGCGCGGTGACGGCGGGACGCCCCCGCGGCCCTGGAGTCACGCGCTCCGCCCCTCCCACCGCCCCACGCCGACCCTGCGGCGCGTCTGCTCCCAAATTCCCCACCCGGAGCCCGGCGGCCGGGGCGCGGGAGGACCCCGCGCTGCGCTGTACTCCGTCTGCAGCCTCCCGGGGAGCCCGAGGTGCGGCCGGCCGCTCTGCCCAGGTGTTCAGGAAGCGGCATGGAGCCTTCGCTCAGCACTGGACGTCTTGGGCAAAGGTGACGTGTTCGTGGCCCGCCTCCGCCTGCTCCGTTCGCGAACACTTGCGTGGAAGGTGTAGGGCCTGCATGTCTCCCAGGACCGGTCAGCTGACCCGGGGCGCACGCCTCTCGCCCCGTGCCGACTCCCTGCCCCTCCAGGCGGCGCTGCTGGCGGCGGGCAGCTGGGGGGAGGCCTGGAGTGCACAGCGAGCTGACACGGGCGGCGCGTGGGATCCGGTGGGTCAGCGCGGGCGCTCGGCCGCCCGCCCGGCCCTGAGCAGCCGCCGGGTGCAGGCACCTGGTGGCCCCACGCAGAAAGCGGCCGAGGCGCGGCCCTGCTCCCCCCGGGCGGAGGCAGGAGAAACGCGCGAGGTGCAGCCGGGACCCGACTGGGGCACCTGGACGGGGCCGAGGTTTCCTCGAGCCCAGGGACCAGCTGCCTCCATCGTGCAATCCGCTGTCACCTGCGTGAAGGTTCAGTTACTCAGCAGCCTGCAGAGAGGTTTCCCCGCGATTCACGGCCCGCGGCAGGGCTCTCGGGTGGCAGATTTGCATGTCCAAAATGGACCCAAAACGTGGAGGTTTTATAAAACCCAACAAGTTAAAAAGAGAAGTTTACGTTTTTCTGTTATAGAGCCAACATGATGAGGATAGTCCTGTTTTTATGGTTCCCGCTTTGTTGACTGAAAGAAAACTCGCACTCTAGCCTCCAAGTGATTTTTGAAAGCGAGATGCTCATTGGCCGCTGGTTCCTCGGACACAAGCAGCTCCTTGCTGGCCGCGGCGAGCTGAGCTGAGAGCCGGCCCCCCAGGGCGCCCCGTACGCCCCCGCGCACCTGCCCGGCGCCCCACGACGCCCGGGCTGCCCCTGCACACTGCCGCCCTTTGACCCCAGTGGGAGAAAACAGCTGCCTGAGGACCTGATCTAAGCCCAGCGCACTGGGGGGCCGCCGGCACGCCTCCCCGAGGCAGGGGCCCCGGGCACCAAGCCCAGCTGTGAGGGGAGCTGGGGAGAGCGTTCCAAAGCGGGGGGGCCTTTCCACACTCGGGTCCCTACAATTCAAGGTCCTAAACGTGGCCTTTGGAGATTAGCATTTAGTGCTTTGAAAGGTCCCATGAAATGGAAGTCCCTGGAGGAGGGCACCAAAGCTCAGGCCCGCCATGCCGGCCTCCAGTTATTCAAACTCTAGCCGGAGAGGCCGAGCCCGAGCGTGCGGCTGCGGGATCAGAAGCACGGCGCCGCCGGCGAAGGCCGCGCAGGTGGGCGGCGGGCCCTCTCCCCGACTCTCGCTGTGACCCGGGACGTAGCTCACATCTCCGCGGTCTCTAGGTCAGAACTTCAAAGAAGCAGGTGACTGGAGGTTTTCCCCCAATAAACCGCCTGCGCACTCCGTATACCGCTTAGATTATTATATTCAAAGCCCTCTAAATCGCCGTGTAAATGAGCCCTGAGATGAGGACCCTGATCCCGGGAATGGGGAAGCAGGGGGAAGCGCCGCAGGGTGTGCACCCTGCACCAGCAAGGGGCAGCTTCCTTGGGGAGCGGCCTGGGCCCAGCCTGGAGGACGGCCGACCACCTCGGAGGAGGCAGGAAGGTGAGGCTGCGCGGCTGCATGGCAACCCCCCCTCCTGGAAAGGCGGGAACCCGGCGGGTGCTGCGGGCAGCTGGAGGCAGGCAAGTGGTTCTGCCCTCTGCTCAGGGGGGCGTGGGGAAATGCTTGGAGCCCAGCCTGTCAGCTCAAGCATACAAATGACTGAGGGAGGAAGCGGGAATGAAAATCGGCTGTAATGGGCAGAGAAACTCTATGAATGAATGAATATCGACATGGTCGTTTCCCCAAACACAATGCGTGGCAGAAAACACAGACCAAGCTGAGCCTGTGATCAGTCAGCGTGTTCCGCACCAGCGCCTGCCCTGTAGCTCTGATCAGACAGAGCCGAGTGTGAATCCCAGTTCACCGACTTACAAGCTGTGTGACCTTAGGCGAGTTACTTCACGTCTCAGAGTCTTAGTCATGAACTGGAGGCGACAGAACTGACTCCCCGGGAGGTTGTCTGGATAAGGTAAGATGGATAAGAAAAAGATTTTCAGAAGAGTGCCTGTTATTTTGCAAACTCAGCAAATGTTCCTTTCTGGCCCTTCTTGATTTCTACCTTAAAATTTATGATTCTTAAGGGGTCTTGGAATATTTCCTTCCAAAAAGTCAAATAGTAACTACAAACAAAAAAATTTTCCATTTTAAAAATGAAACCTTGGTAGAGGTCAAGACAGGAGCTTCTGAGCTAAAAACTTGGATCTCGTTTTTCAGAGGAGCCAGTCAGCGTAGTTTCTTTCCGTCTGACATCCTGCCCAGCAGCGCGGCCAGGGGGGTGGGGGGTGGATGAAGGCAAGGTGTTTCAGCTGAGGCCCCCAAACAGGACAATGGATGTGTAATTATTTTGAAGAGTAATTTGAAAGGCAGTCTCCGTTCAAATTATAACTATTATCGAAAAGAAAATTTTGAATTCAGGTTGGGAAAAATGCAACGCTGTCCCCTGGCACTGCCCTTCCAAGAAGTAAGGTCACTGTCACATTCAGCACAGTCCATTCCGAACTGTCTAGCCAGGGAGTAAGGGGATTGGTCAAGCAAACCATTTAAAATGAAAGTTACCATATTGGTTAGTGTTTCTCAGACCTTTTTTATTTTTCAAAATGAAAAAGGTCTCTTGAAACTCCCCCCATGTTGACTTGAATTAATTTTCATTTTATTATTCCATAGATATATACCAATATATTCTGTACCAATATATAATTAGGCAAAAATGCTTTATGCTTGAAGCTCACTAAAAGCCAAATGAAGAAGTTCCAGAGGTCTATTTGGACAACAATGTGAATATACTTAACACTATCAAGCTGTGCACTTATAAGCGTTAAGATGGTATGTTTTATGTCATGTTTTTTTTTACCACAATGTAAAAAAAACTAAGAACAAAGCAAATTTACAAATTAAATAGAAACAAAATCATCAAATTCAAACTAAAAACATTAACTCAGTGTAAAAGAGCAGTATTTTGCTGAAACTAAATAGCCAACATTAGATTTAATTGCAATTTATACACGTAATTATAAAAGCATGATAAGATGCTCTTATGCATTTTTTGTGTCAATTGTTGGCATAAGTATTTGATTTGAGCATGATGGACAGTGATCTAACCCACAATCATTATCATTATTCTAAGTTTTCATCTCATCAAGTTACTGATTTGAAACCATGTGTTGGTCATTTTAATTGGTCCAACTGATTTTAAAATGGTCTCTCAAAAACGTTACATTGATCCACTATTTTTTTAAAAAGCTCCTAATGAAATTTCTTCATGGAGCACGTTTGCAAGCTGGTGTGTCTTATTGACAGGGACTCAAGCTGATGCATCTGCTTATAATCTGAAGTGGCTGCTTTGCCTGGCTGCTTTTCCCTCCAGCCTGTGCTGCCAGGAAACCTGTAATGACTGTTTTCTCTCCGTTTTTCTCTTTCTGAACTGCGGTAAAATTTCATTCACACTGGTGCCATGATTCATGTGGCCTTCACTTTGCATGAATGCATCATTTGTGTGGTAGGTCGGCCCTGTTCTCATTAGCCTGTGACAATTAAAATAGCTTAGTTATTTTTAAGATTTGGACATAGATACTACAGAACTCTAAGGAATGAGAACACCATAAACGTGGGGCAAGGAGGCATGGGATGGCGGCCTGGGGCCAGGCAGTTGTTAGATCCCAAGCAGGCTGAGAGTCTGGGGCCAGGGTCCACGTGGCACAGGGTTTCGGAGCCCCTGTGGGCTGAGGGGCGTGACCGTGCAGAGGCAGCCTCGTGTGGAGTGTGGAGCCCAGGGCAGGGTGCGGAGTCTGTCCCTGCGAGAGGGGTGGCATGCTACAGATTTCAGAGCCCAGTGCGGGCGAGAAGCCTATCTGTGGAGGAAGGAGGTCCGGCACCAATTGTCATATCCAAAGATATAACCTAATCATAAGAAAACGCCAAGTCCAAAGGGAGGGACATTCTGCACAATGACTGGCCTCTGTTCTTTAAATGTGAAAAGGAAAGACAGAGGAACTAGTCCAGACTGAAGGAGCCTGCCTAGGAAACATGAAGAGAAATTGCATGGTGTGGCTCTGAACTGGAACCCCTTGGCTCTCAAGCTTGGTTTGGACCCTAAGAAACTCGCCTGGAGTCTGTTAGGCCCCCATGCATCCGTGTGCGTCTCCCCGTGTGGCTACCTGGCCCGATGTAATGTAAGGGAATGTGTCCGAGCCTGTGCGCATTGATAGTCGGATGCGACGGGGGAATCAGATTGGCAACTTCCTTCCACGTGGTTTGGTGGGGGAAATGGTCTTTGTACTTGACTTGCAACATTTCTGAACATCTGAATTCATCTCAAATTTAATATTTAATGGTACAGTTTTTTTAAAGAGGATAAAAATTCATGTATAAAAAAATGATCAATTGTGTAGAGTTCTCGCAGTGAGCACTTACTATGTATTAGATACTGGACTAAGCAGTTTGCATATTTTATGTCATTTAATTTCATACAAATCTTACAAAGTCGGTATTACTAGTTTCATTTTACAGATGAGGAATCTGAAGCTCAGAGAGGCTAAGAAAGTTGAGTAGGTTCCTAACTCACCTATTGCACTGCTCAGAAAAAAGACTGGAAGAAAATTTGAAAAAGATTGAAAACTATTAATAGCAATAGTCTCTGGGCAGTAGAACAATGAATGACTTTTAGTTTTTCCTTGTGTAGTTTTCAGTATTTTCCAAAGTAGCTACAATGGCATGTTGCTTTTGTAATTAGAAAAAAAAAAGGAAAGTTTTCACTGAACAGTAAATAATTTGTTGTAGAGCAGTGCTGTGAAAATGTGCTCATTATTCAGAACCATACTGAGTGACCCAAACTATTAATCATGATTTTGTCTCTTAGTAGTAATATTATTGGTAACTTTCATTTTTAATTTTTTACTGCTTTATGATTTATTGTTTCTATAATTAATTATTTCATTCAGTCAACAAATACTGAGCATCTGCTGTGATGTATTTTTGTAAGAAGAAACATTTTTAAAGAAAACAATGTACTGTATAAGTTCAAAGTTGTAAATTTTATTCAAAAGAGCAGGAAGAAAGGATATGCTTAGGAAAAGACTGAGCACCAAAGTGTGGCTAACAGTTATGCTCCACTGATAGATAGTGGAAATTTTATCTTTTCTTAATATTTTTCTATGCTTCCCCAGTTTTTGCCAGCATGTGTTAACTTATATATTCTATGCATGATGTGTTTCCAGTGCTTGGAAGTGTACCTGACACACGGTACAAGTTCAGAAAGATTTGTTGAATGAATAAATGCTTTTGAGTTTAAATACTGGAATAATACAGTTTTTAAGAGCAGCGTTGACCTTTACTCATTCTCTCAGGTAGCTGACACACTTAATATCGTCCTGTGCTCCCCTCTGCGAGAGAAGACAGAAGATACGGCTGTAGCAGGGCCTCTGCCCGGTGGCGTGATGCGAGAGTGTTACAGGGAGACAGGTGAGCAGAAAGAGGGGACCCACTACTCAGAGCACTGCAGTGTTCTTTCACTGTGTTTACTAAGATTCTGCTCAAGCTATTTCTAGGAGAACTTGAGGTGACACATCACTATACCAGCAGCCCCAGGGACAAACCTTCCGTGGCCAGAGCTGGGTTTCTTGGTGGTGATGTCTGGGGCTCACAGAGGATAGAGGTGGGGGGAGGTGGGGGCGGAAGCCCCTAATTTCCTTGTAATGATGAAGCTTATCTCTCTGGTTTATAAATTAACTGGGCTCAGAACCCCTAAGAGAAACCAGATTTCAGTCTGTTGTGGGGAGAGAAGTCGCTCAGCTGGGGCGTGAAGCAAGCTGACTGTGCGGCGTCTGCATCCCCACCTGGCTGTCCCAGTCTTTGCTCATTTGTGGGGGACTTATATGCTATGAGGATGTTGCCGAATCTTATGAGCCCCCAAAACCACACCAGGCAGTCCTCATGTAAGACCAGGATCACCAGGAGGACAAACCTTTGAGGGTGTCCTGAGTCCTCTCTGTCTCTCTGATGGCAAAATACATTGGCAAATTCTGCTGGCCCTGCCTTCAGACTGTACCCAGGACCTGACCACTGCACCCTCTCTTACCTCACCTGGATGGCTGAGGAGCCCCTTAACCTGACTCCTGCTTCAATCCTTGGCCCCTGGAATATTTTCCACACAGCAGCAGCTGCAAGGATCCATTTAGAATCTAATCAGATCCTGTCTGGACACGAGAGCCTGCAGAGGCCGTCGCCCTCAGTAAGGTGCTGTTCTGCGTCCCGAAGCTCGGTTAGCTCCGACTTTATTTTCTGAAGTGTCCTCCTCTCCCTCCACGTGAGCCGGCTTCACTCCCCTGCTGCTCCTCTAACGCGCCAGGCACACTATGCCTTTCTGGACCCTCTGCACGAAGTTGCCCCCAACCCCATTCAGATGGCTCTCTCTCTCCCTTAAGGACCCCTGCTCAAATGTCCCCTCGTCAGAGAGGACTTTCCAGACCACCTGTCTGGAAACCACCTGCCCAGATGCACGGCCTTCCCTTTGGCAGTCAGCGTCCTCTGGGACAGCTCTGCTCTCCACCTGTGTCCGGCTTTCCCACGTGTCTGGCAGGACTTTTTAAGGTGGGTGCAGCTCTATGACCTGCCTTGTCCTGTGGCATGTGAGAGTAGTGCCACCATGGGTCGCTTCTGGGCATACGTGTTAGGAGCCTGTGTGCAATCCGCCACTCTGCCTTCTCCCTCCCAGGGAGACCAATCCTGCCTGGAGGATGGTGCTCCCGGCAGCTGGGTCCAGAGCAAAGGGCTGCAGAGCAGAGCCCCCAGCTGACCTGCAGGGAACAGACAGTGCTAAGTGAGAAAAAAGCTTTGCTGATTTAAGGCACTGAGATACCAGCTGTTGAGTGCCACACACCAGCTGGCCTGCCCAGAGTGACACTCTGGCATGTTACCTACATTTGCTTGCCTGGGCCCCCTCCACCGGTCTGTATCTAGGGCCTGGAACAGTGCCTGGCACAGGGCAGGTGTTCAGTAGGTATTTGTTGGCTAACGAGTGATCAGCTGATCACACAACTGCCCCAGGAAGAATTGGCAGCGGCAGGTGACTCTGACCCCGGACCCCTGACACGGCTGCTGCCTGTCCCACCTGCGGCCGCGTCGCAAGGCGCAGGACCAGGGCAGCCTTGTCGGGCCCCTCTTGGGGCTAATGACCACGGGACAGATGTGCGTAGCGAAGGCCTCGCTGCTGCCCAGCCTGTAAGATGCAGAACCTCCCTGACCCTGTGGGCCTCCAAGCCAATCGCGGGCAACACGCCGGCCTCCTGCAAGCAGCCATTCTCAGACTGCGCCCAACGCACCAGTGCTCCTAGGCTTTCGCTCTTGCTAGCCCCGACGTAGCCACCTTCCCAGTTCATTCCTGAATCAAACGGGAAAGGCATTTGTCTCTCATACAGTTCCCCAAAGAGCAAACATTATCAAAATGTGCGAGTGATTATCTATTAAACGCTTTGCAAGGAGTCCCTGTGTCTGGTCATTAGGAAAGGAAATGTATTTACATCAGAGGGCAGGATGGTGAGGGGGGTTTGCTTTCTCCCCTCACCCTTTTCTATGTCTTCTTTCTTTGTTCCATTGGGTTATTTTTCTCTTTATACTCATTGGTAATTCCCTAATGACTGTGATCATAGGGGAAGTGATTTGTTTCCCATTCCCAAAGGTGGCACGGAGGAGCAGCGCCCACCCCAGGAGCACAAGGCCAAGCCCATTCCAGAAGGGCCCACCTTGCCACTCACTCTGGGGTCCCTGGGGACAGAGAGGGGATGGAGAAATAACAGCAGTGCAGACTCTAGTCCTGCGTCTAGTAGGGAAACAACAGGAAAGGCTCTGCGTGAGGTCGGTGCCCTCTACCCTGGCACATCTGCATCCACTCAGCACCCCACTGGGTACTGTGTGGGAGCTGGAGAGAGACCTCGCAGCCCTTGACTCTGAGTCGGTGGGTGAATGACGGTGTCGGGTGGCACATCCAGAGGCCACGACAGATGCACAGATAACAGGGCTCTAGGTGGCCCCAGAGGGGAGATCTCGGTGAGAACTGACATTGCAGACAAGGCTTTGGGCTGGAGGCAGGGACTGAGCTGTGCCTTGAAGGACAGAGGTAGATGCTGTCAAAGAGCAGAATTGGCAAAGAGGTCGAGAGTGAAGTGCATCGAGTCCAGTACCCCCACTTCATAGCCCCCGTTTCCCAACTGACCACACACAGGTCACCTAAGGAACATTTTGTAAAAACTCATCGGATGTTGCTCTCAGGAAGTTAATCACAACACGGTACCAAGACACCACAGCTGTAAGCGTTAGTGAATTGGTTATAAAGACGACTGAATTGTTTTTCTTGTTTACCAATGAGTGTCATGGATTAGAAAGGCTGCTAAATTAAAGGAAATTATAATCTGGAAAATGAGAGCTTAATCGTCTCATAGCAAAACAATTTATGAAACTCCTTTTGGAGACTTTTAAAAACATCCAACTTGGCCTTAGTGGGCTTAGGAACCTCCCTTCAAAGGCAGAAAGCCCCCTGGCACCTTGGCCACCTCCTCCCGACTCTGGTGCTGGCTGGCAGCCTCTGGTGACCACCCCTGGCTCTCTTCAGCAGAGGAAGGGTGGGACCTGGCAGCCGCTGCTGAGCACACGGAGCAGGTCTCTGGCCAGCAGGGCTGGGGGCGAAGCAGCTCAGGGCTCTGACGCGCCCGGAACACAGTGCCGCTCTGATCCGTCCTGAGCGAGGTGCCTTCCTGCGGTTTTCCTGGCCGTGAGATGTGCCTTTTAACCATTTCCCCTCAAAAGACCTTGGTTAGATTTGATCCCATTGTTTTAATATCAAAATAGCTACCACATAAAAATTATTGCCAAAAATGCATTCTTGTTTCACATAACTCAGCGATACGGTTTCTGAGGTCTTGAGTGCTCAGAAGGACTTTTAGTCCTTTTGGTTGCGAGGAGTTGAAAGGAAAATTTTAATTTATGGAAAGGAAAGAAACCCTTTAGGACCTCTCCATTATTCTGAATGCCACGGACACCTGAATGTGGGCGTACACGCACAGGGTCTGAGTCCGTGAGTGCCCGTGCACACACACTCTCGTCCATCACCCATTCTACTGGAAAACATAATGGCAGAAAACTTTATTGTGTTTCCAAAGTCCTGGTTGTGGTCTTCAGCAAGGGGCACCTGAGACGCATGCCTGCAAGTAGCTGAAGGCGCAGCTAAGTGGTCTGCCTGAAGCCTGAAGTTAGATTAAGTCGACGATTCTACTGGGTCTCATTTGTGGGGGACTTATATGCTATGAGGATGTTGCCGAATCTTATGAGCCCCCAAAACCACACCAGGCAGTCCTCATGTAAGACCAGGATCACCAGGAGGACAAACCTTTGAGGGTGTCCTGAGTCCTCTCTGTCTCTCTGATGGCAAAATACATTGGCAAATTCTGCTGGCCCTGCCTTCAGACTGTACCCAGGACCTGACCACTGCACCCTCTCTTACCTCACCTGGATGGCTGAGGAGCCCCTTAACCTGACTCCTGCTTCAATCCTTGGCCCCTGGAATATTTTCCACACAGCAGCAGCTGCAAGGATCCATTTAGAATCTAATCAGATCCTGTCTGGACACGAGAGCCTGCAGAGGCCGTCGCCCTCAGTAAGGTGCTGTTCTGCGTCCCGAAGCTCGGTTAGCTCCGACTTTATTTTCTGAAGTGTCCTCCTCTCCCTCCACGTGAGCCGGCTTCACTCCCCTGCTGCTCCTCTAACGCGCCAGGCACACTATGCCTTTCTGGACCCTCTGCACGAAGTTGCCCCCAACCCCATTCAGATGGCTCTCTCTCTCCCTTAAGGACCCCTCCTCAAATGTCCCCTCGTCAGAGAGGACTTTCCAGACCACCTGTCTGGAAACCACCTGCCCAGATGCACGGCCTTCCCTTTGGCAGTCAGCGTCCTCTGGGACAGCTCTGCTCTCCACCTGTGTCCGGCTTTCCCACGTGTCTGGCAGGACTTTTTAAGGTGGGTGCAGCTCTATGACCTGCCTTGTCCTGTGGCATGTGAGAGTAGTGCCACCATGGGTCGCTTCTGGGCATACGTGTTAGGAGCCTGTGTGCAATCTGCCACTCTGCCTTCTCCCTCCCAGGGAGACCAATCCTGCCTGGAGGATGGTGCTCCCGGCAGCTGGGTCCAGAGCAAAGGGCTGCAGAGCAGAGCCCCCAGCTGACCTGCAGGGAACAGACAGTGCTAAGTGAGAAAAAAGCTTTGCTGATTTAAGGCACTGAGATACCAGCTGTTGAGTGCCACA